CTACCCACCACAGGTTCGTTCGTTCGTTATTCGTCGTCGTCGCTGCGTTAGACGTGTCTTCCCTGTCTTCCATGGAACAGGTACCTTACATGCCATCATCCCACGCCGCCCATCCCTCCCATCACTTCCCTGGACTCATTCACTAACAGTCGCGCTGCCAGACCGGCACGGAGCGGTAGCCGTACAGAGAGAGAGACAGACACACGTCCACGCCCGCATACGCACCATACTCAATCGACCGACGGATACCTTCCACTGCCTTTCGGTCTTCACTTCTTCGGCCCTACGTTCACTACCAACCCTGGTGCCCCAGCCAGTCCCGTTCGCTCGGCTCCATTTACCTCCCCCGACCGGCCGCCGTTGTCTGTTTCCAGTACTCGCACACCCCCCAAACACCCAAGAACCAAGACCCCGACGGAAGGGACCTGGCGGATACATCCATCTTCATTCCCAGCTACCACCATCCATACGCTATTCAGCACTTGTTACTTTGAACCTGGCCCGTCTTCCCCTCCCTTGGCACAAGTCCCCTCGCCCGGACCTCAAGTATAACTTGACACCACCCTCCGCCCTTGTTCCACCATTCCTTTCTCTTCTTCTCCTTATCACCACCCCGATCACCCAAGCTCTTCGCTTGCCATTCTCTCGTCAACTCTTCAACAAGGCTTTCGTCTGCTGGGCTTTCACAAAAGCACCAACACCCTTGAATCTCGAGCGCCGTCTTTAGCTGAACTTACCGATATCCGATGGGAGAACCCGAAGCCGTCAGGCATGGTGAACAACACACAGCTGCTGCGGAAGTCAACCCCGAGCAGGACGAGCCACCGTCTATACCGCGGCCCCCGCCCATACCCAACCCCGTCCCTCAACGGCCTGCCCACGCCGCTCCTGCCTCGGACATAGGATTTCTCTGGCAGACCGACCTTGAAAATGGCCTCTCCAAGGCTGAGGCGCAAGCCCGCCTCGACCGTGATGGGCCCAATCGCATCGAGGGTGCCAAGGGCCTCTCCATTTGGGAGATTGTCATGAGACAGATTTCCAACAGTCTGACCCTCGTTCTCGTGATCGTCATGATCCTATCTTTTGCCATTCAAGATTACATTGAAGGCGGCGTTATCACCGCCGTCATTCTTCTGAACATCGTCGTGGGGTGAGTCTTTGCCCCCCTCGTTTTGCTTTCTACCTTGGCATAGCCTGCCTTCTCTTCTGTCCTCTTCTCCCGATGCTTCTGCTGCACACGCGGGTACTTCTTTGACTTGCCTGTTTGGTGGAGTGGCTGCATATTGTGGTTGGTTGAACAGAATACCACTTGCGCCGCCCGTGGGTTGGGTGACACCCCTCCCGGCCACTCGCCCAGAGGGGTGTACAAGGGTGTCGGCGGTGTGGCGCATCCCCTGCCCCTGCCCCTGCCCGTGTCATTCACGTCTCCACCAGCTTCACGTCTACACTCGCCGATTCTTCGAATCTCGCTGCTGACAATCTCGTAGCTTTATTCAGGACTACAATGCCGAGCAGACAATTCAGTCTCTGTACGCGCTGTCCGCCCCGACATGTAAGGTCGTCCGCGACGGTATCGCGGAGACCGTCAAGGCAGATTCACTCGTCAAGGGCGATCTTGTCATGATCGCTGTTGGCGACGTCGTCCCAGCCGATCTCCGTCTTCTCGAGGGTATCAACCTCTCCATCGATGAGGCCCTCTTGACTGGCGAGTCGCTACCCATCAGCAAGCACCCTGAAGCCATCCTCGAGGAGGAGGATATCCCTCTCGGCGACCGCATCAACATGGTCTATTCTGCTACTACCGTCACTCGCGGACGCGCTCGCGGCATCGTCACCACTACCGGCATGGAGACCGAGGTGGGAAAGATTGCCATGATGCTGCGCACAACCCGCAAGCGAGACGAGAACGCCTCTCTGCCCAAGCGCGCTGTTATGCGCTTCAAGGCTGCCATGAAGAGCATCCTGGGTCTTGAGGGCACTCCCCTTCAGGTCAAGCTGAGCAAGTTTGCCCTTCTACTTTTCGGCCTAGCCATTCTGCTTGCCATCATTGTCTTCTCCGTCAGCAAGTTCGACATTGACGATCAGGTCCTCATCTATGGTATTTGCGTCGGAGTGGCCGTTATTCCTGAGTCGCTCATTGCAGTTTTGACCATCACCATGGCTGTTGGTACCAAGGCAATGGCGTCTGGCAACGTTATTGTCCGCAAGCTGTCTTCTCTCGAAGCCGTTGGAGGTGTGACCAACATCTGCTCCGACAAGACTGGTACGCTTACCCAGGGACGCATGGTTACCAGGAAAATCTGGCTGGCCGAAGACACAACTGCCATCATTGAGGGCACTACCGACCCCTATGATCCGACCAGCGGCACGGTTAGATGGCCCGGCTCCGCCGCATCGAGCTCGGCCTCTAGTGGAGCGTCGACCCCGACGGTTGAGAAGACCGACGACACCATCCAGACCTCTTCTATGGGCTCATTTCTCAAGGCTATTGCGCTATGCAACAACGCCTCCGTCACCGATGGCAAGACGGCTACCGACACTGAGTCCATGACCACCGCCACCGAGGTGCCCGTCTCATGGTCCGCTATTGGCGAGCCCACCGAGATCGCTCTCCAGGTCTTCGCCATGCGTTACGGAAAGGGAAAGAACGACCTCGTATCGTCTGAAAAGACGAAGATGCTCTATGAGTTTCCCTTCGACTCCTCGTGCAAGCTCATGAGTGTTGTCTACGGATTCCCTTCGGCCCCTCGCCAAGTATTCACCAAGGGTGCTGTTGAGGTTATGCTGCAGCGCCTGGCTGAGCCGGAAGCTGTCAAGGCCAAGATCGCCGCCAAGGCCGACGAGCTTGCCTCCGAAGGTCTCAGAGTTCTCTGCGTCGCTCACAGGTTCCTCGACAGCGACGACAATGCGAGCGAAAGAAATGAGGCTGAGTGCAAGCTTCGCTTCCTGGGTCTTGCCGGCTTGTACGATCCTCCCCGTGTCGAGACACTTGGCGCTGTGAAGCTTTGCAAGACTGCTGGCATCTCTGTGCATATGGTCACCGGAGATCACATTAAGACTGCAACTGCCATTGCCCACGAAGTCGGCATTCTCACCGGAGGGGAACAGCCGACTGCTGTTATGGCGGCTGGTCAATTCGACGCCCTCAGCAATGAGGAGGTTGATGCTCTTCCCGCTCTTCCCCTCGTCGTCGCCCGCTGCAGCCCACTGACCAAGGTCAGAATGCTCGAGGCGATGCATCGTCGCAAGGCTTACTGTATCATGACTGGTGATGGTGTGAACGACTCCCCCGCTCTCAAAAAGGCGGATGTTGGTATTGCGATGGGCAAGAGAGGCAGTGACGTCTCCAAGGAGGCAGCAGATATGGTTCTCACTGATGACAACTTCTCGTCTATCGTAACTGCCATCAAGGAGGGTCGTCGCTTGTTTGACAACATCCAGAAGGTAGTCGATTTCCTTCCCGTTTTGTGAACTCGGACTAACACGTAGATCAGTTCCTGCTCCATCTCCTGATTTCCAACATTGCCCAGGTCATCCTTCTCTTGATTGGACTGTCTTTCAAGGACCGCAGTGGCACTTCCATCTTCCCCCTCTCCCCCCTGGAGATTCTGTGGGTGAACCTCATTACTTCATCGTTCCTGGCCATTGGTCTGGGTTTGGAGGAGGCGCAACCGGACATTCTTTTGCGCGCACCCCACGACCTCGGCATTGGTGTTTTCACCTGGGATCTGATCCGCGACAAGATGATCTACGGTTTCTACATGGGCTCCTTATGTCTCGCCGCCTTCACCTCCGTTGCTTACGGCCCTGGTGGCGGAGACCTTGGAAGCATGTGCAACGACGGTTACAACGACACCTGCGGTGTTGTCTTCAGAGCTCGCTCCACCGTCTATGCCACCCTGAGCTTCCTGCTCCTGGTCACCTCTTGGGAAGTCAAGCACTTCCAGCGCAGCTTGTTCAACATGAACCCCGAGTTGTGGACCGGTCCGTTTGCTGTTTTCAAGACTGTCTACAAGAACCGCTTCCTCTTCTGGGCTGTCGCTGGTGGTTTCGTATTGACTTTCCCCGTCATCTACTTGCCTGTGGTCAACCGTGCTGTTTTCAAGCATGACATGATCACTTGGGAGTGGGGCATTGTTGTCGCTTGCCTGATCGTGTACATCGCTCTTATTGAGTGCTGGAAGGCCGTGAAGCGCCATCTCGGTCTCGGCATGAACCCCCGCGTTCCTGTCGATCAGGTATAGTCTGCCATCCTAGAATGACAACGGATTCGCTGCAAAGCGAACGGGAGGAAACGGCGAAATGGCTGAACAAAATGGCGCCTTGGTGTCAATCTGACTTGCGGGGTTGGAGCCGGACACAACTCCGGTGCATGGAAATCAGAATTTGGGGCTATTCAACATCAGCCTGACAGGCTTCACGGCTTAGGTTTTCTTTTTCGATTCTTTCAATACTCATTTAAGCAGCAATACCTCGTATCAGTCGGCTGTAGAGTGAATACTCCAGCCATGAGCGGCAATAAAGCGAGCTGAGTTTGATCAGCTCTCACCACCCTTGGCCTTCTCCAGACGCGTGACCATTGCAGAGTGATGTCGGCTAGAAGTGATGCCGTTGTTGTTTATCTAAAGCATGAACCACCACCGTGTTACTGGGAAATGTTCTTTTTGGTGCATACTCAAGCATTTGACGCCCAGCATACCCCGCGGAGAGGGGCTGAATCCTTCAACATCCTTCAAGGCTTCCGACCCGGTCCCTCCCCGTCCCAGCTTCCTATCCCGGCAACTCACATGACCTACACCACGGGTCAAACCGGGGATTGGTGCAAACGCCGGGTTACCGATCATCACTGCCAGATCACGTCAAGGTTCATCCAATGCGTTACGAACCCAATTCCAGAAGACTTTAAATAGAATTCGAGGTCGCGGCGACAAGCCTTCCTCAGTCCTACATGCCTCCACCACCAAGCGACTTCCTTTGAAGAAAGCAACCCGTTGTCCAAAATGAAAGTCCTCATTCTCGGGCTTCCCAGGACAGGAACCCAATGTAGGCTAGCCAATGGCTATTCCCTCCTCTATTTGACGATGGCATGTACTGACTAATCTCTCTCCAGCTCTCGCCGACGCGCTGATCCAGCTCGGCATCAGCCCCGTCTACCACATGCGCGAAGTCGGGGTCAACAACCACCAGGACTTTTGGATCCGCGCCATCGAGGACCACATCCCGCCGTTCTCCCCGTCAGAGCTGAAGAAGGCAATCACTACCACACCCTGGACCCGCGAGCAGTGGGACACCATCCTCGCGCCGTACGAAGCCGTCTCCGACTTCCCGCCCGCGCTCTTCCCCACGGCGCTGGCGGCCGCGTACCCGGACTGCCCCATCATCCTGTCCACGCGCTCGTTCGAGTCCTGGGCGGCGTCGATGCGCGACACCTTGGTTCATGGGTTCGTCAACCGCGATCGGGAGAAGAGGAGCCCGATGGAGGGGTTGGCGGCTGCGTACCACTCTGCATGCTGGGGGGACGACTTTGAGAGGAACGGGAGGGGGTATTGGGAGCGGCACCACGCGGAGGTGAGGTCGTTGGGGGAGGGTGGGAGGCGGTTTTTGGAGTTTCGTCCGGGGGACGGATGGGGACCACTTTGTGAGTTTCTGGGGGTGGATGTGCCTGAGGGTATGCCGTTTCCGAGGAGTGATGATTGGGTTGAGTATAAGATGAAGGTTGAGCGGGAGAAGAGGGAGGGGAAGGTTGACTGAGGTTGCGTGGTGGATTGGAGTTGAACGTTTTGGTTGCAGTAAGAAAAACGCGTATAAATCTTGTTATTCAGCCCCTTATCCCAAGCCGTTTCGGACGCAGAAAAATGCCATCTAAAAATTAACGTATGAAGACTGGTCATCCAATCCGCCCAGAGCCAAGCTGTCGGGTTCATGCATGCCACGCGGACGAGATCTAAGCCTCTCCAAACCCAAAGGGGCGATGCACCACCATGCGCTTAACTGTGAAATAGGCTAACAAAGGCACAGCCTATGGGAAATTCTCCGAGCAGATAGGCGTGGCGGCACGGTGGAGTGAGGGTCTTTTTCAGTGTGGAGGGACAGCGCAGGGTCCAGCTACAATTTTCTATACGCGTACAGATGGCCTCGCTATACGTGTACTCCGTATATGCCCATGGAGACGGTCTGTCACTGGAGATGAATGCGTATGCGTATAAACAACGAAAATGGGAGGGCTTGGCGGGGGTTTGATAAAATACCTACCATCCCGCCTGGATTTGTTGTGAGATTTGGATATTTCAGGATCCAAGTTATTCACACCTTTCCGCTTCACCATCACCGCAACCGCCTGCCGTCCACAGCATCTCTTGCCAACACAGCATCAACATCACCAAACAAACACGAGCGCGGCAGAAAAGACTCCATCATGGAGAAACTTAGAACACTCTTCGACAAGCCCTTCTTCGACCCGCGCCACAAGACCAAGGTCCACATCCTCCAGCTCGTCCTCATGACCACCGCTATCATCCTCACCATTGCGCGTATGGCTATGCCCGTGATCACCACGCGAGCCAACATGATGGCTCTCACCATGGTTCGTCTCAACCCTCGCTACCTTTTTCTCAAGAATATCTAAACGACCGCTGACGCTGGACCAACAAACAGGGCATCAAATCCTTCATCATCATCGGCTACCAGCTCCTCACCGCGCACAAGGAGCGCTTCAAGAAGTGGGCCTCGCTCAAGGCCAACGCAATCCTCAACACGATGGAGATTGTGTTCTGGTTCGTTGCGTTCGGGCTGTTATTCTCGGCGAACACGACGTTTTGCACGGGGGCGAGTTGTGCGCTGAGTTGGATCGTGACGTTGCTTTGCGCGGTGTTGATGTGAGTTTTCGACTGGACTTTCTTCCTTCTGTTGTTCTGTTTGATTGGATTTGGCTGACACGGATGGGGGATGAAGTGTTCTCGCTTTCCAGACGTCGGTCGTCTCGATCAAGGAGTTCCGATACTTCAAGAATTATGGGGTTACGTACGAGACGAATTATCCAAAGGTTTAGACAAGGTCGAAGGAAGATGAACAGGCGGAGTGTTCCATATCATATGGATACAGGGACCAATGGTTGGCATGATTTCCGCTATGGATTACGGCACGTTGAGAGGATAGAAGTCTTGTTGGGACAAGTCGGGACCAAGGCGTTGGGGCGTGTATGGTTCTTTAGATGAGCCTTCGGGATGGGGACGGCCACTTGACGTGAGGAACATCGAATTGATACTAACATACGAATCAACCATTCGCGAATTTCTTCGCGACTTTCCTCCGTGCGTCTTCCTCATGTCTCACTCACCATCTCGGCCTCCAATAGGCGACGTGCCCTAGCCACAACACTCGAAGACCTGGGAACTTCATCGAGTCGCGACATTGAGTCTCGTCTCATTCGACTCGGCGTGGGGGCGGCAGCAACTCAGGGGTAGGATGACGGCGGACGATAGCGGTGACGATAACGAAGACCGACGATAGCGACGACAACGACGAACGACGTCGACGATGAAGACCGACGTTGGCGACTAACTACAAAGAAAACAACGACTACGATGATAGAGAGCACACAGGAAACTTACTTAGTTACTCTGTAGGGAACATAGGTAGTCCAGGGTAGTCTACTTCTTCATACCTCCCTCAGCCTACTCCTTCTAGTTAAGCCTCAGTCTACTCTAGTTATGATACTCATGCACGGTGCCCACTGTCTCGCCCTCGCCTATGTGGATGACGTGCGCTATGTGGGCCTGGTCCTTCGCCCACTTCTGCAGCTGCGGCGCGAGAACTGCGTAAGCGCGCGACATTGAAGTGAAAGCCCCAGCCGTGTAGCTGGAAAGCTCGCCCCATCTCTTGATAGCTGGCTTCGACCCCTTGCGCATATCCTCCATTGACGTGTTCTCGAAGATAAAGCCCGTTGCCTCCAACGCCTTGATCGTGCGCTCCAGGGCCTCCCTCATCTTGCCGCGCGCCAGGGAGCACTTGCCGAGGGAGAGGTAGCTGTCCCAGACCCCCAAACGCAGGGCTCCCTCACGGCTCGGGTAGCTTTGGTCCAGTTCTCGCACAAGTCTCAGGGCTTTCAGCTCTTGAGCTAGAGACGTCTTGCAACCCCGGAGAGCCTGAATCATATCCTCCCGAAGAGCCTGACGCTTCATGAAGACTGCCTTTGGCGTCATCTTCTTGTCGAGGCACAGCTCGCATTCGCAGGTGAAGCCCCATCTCGAGAATCGCTTTTGAGTCGCCTTATAGTCGTCTCCGATGTCGAGTGACTGGTAGCAAAAGACCAGCTCTGTGCCGGCGGGCATATCCCGCGACGCGCGGACGATCATGACGTCTCCGATGAAGGAGCGGCAGCAGTTTTCCAAGCAAGAATGGTTGATATGGGAGGCGATGGTCCAGATGCCGCAGGTAGTGTGTCCAAATTCCACTTTCTTGCCGGGTTGTGGGAGGTTGGCAAGCATCGTGCGCGGGGCGCCGAAGCAGTTCAGGCTGATGGTTCTCTCTACGAGGAACCTGGGAGAGAGTCAGCGAAAGGATCGTAGGTGCCGCAGAGAAAGATGCACTCACGTGTCAACCGGGAGATTCTCTCCCTCAGCCGGCTTGACGGCGCGGTAGCCTCCTCGATGAAGTTGCATGAATAGCGGCATCAGGCCCGGGTTGTGATGCAGCTTCTGCACAACGGAGGACACGAGGTTGGCCTGGCCGCCCATGATCGATCGATTCGTACTCATGTTCATCAAAACCTTGACATTCTTGCGACTAACGGGGTCATCTTCGTCGGCGTAGCAGTAGGCGAAGGCCTTCTCACAGAGGAGCAGGTCACCAGCCTTGACGGCCTTGGTGATGAAGAGGCCATTACCGCGTCCCGGAGAGGCACGCACCTCGACGGGCGAAGAGTACGTGGCGCAGTCGATGATCGGTGGGGTTGCTTTGGCTTGCTTGTACATCTGATTCCATGTGTACTCGCCTGTCGCCTCCTCGTGCAGGCGGATCCGGGTCTTCTTGAGTTCATTCTTGGCATCCTTGTTATCGGCATTGAGGTCGAGGAGCTCAACGAGTCTGCTCTCGGTCAGGCTGAACTGCTGCATTGCGTAATGTGCCTTTGCTTCTCGGAAGAGACCCTTTTCAGTAGGATTGCCGCCATTGCGAGCTCTAAGGGCATCGTCGAGGGCCTTTTCGGGGCGGTCGAGGCGTAAGTCTGCCAGAGAACGGTTCAGGAGGGCTGCTTGCTGCTCTGGGACGGTTGTGGCGAAGCTAAGTGCATCGGAGTACCTACCAAATGTTAGATGTGCGAGCTCGTTTGATACCCAGTGATATTGTCAGACGTACAGGCGCTCAGCAGTGCTCCAATCCTGTTCGGCGACCGCCACGTTGCCTTGCAAGCGAATCTGCTCCGAATCACCGTCGATGCTTCTGGGTGCTCGCCATACCTCTGGGACACGCTCATCATTGCTGGGAAGAATGACAATGTCCCCAATGTGGTCCACCCGAAGGCTGTACGAGCCGCTCGGGGTGTCCTTGAAGAAAGGCTCCTTGATGAGGCACACGCTGCCTTGAGGCAAGACGTCGTCGGCCTTGACGAGGTTCTCCTCTGGCTGATTGTACAACTGAAGCAGGACAGCGGCACCCCCTTCGTCTTCTACGATGACCGTGATTGCGCTGGGTCTCTGGGTGACCGTAAGCGTGCGGACAATGACGAGATGACCGCGGTGGTGCTCCTGGAGCTTCATCTTTGAGATCGGCAGCAGCGTAAGGGTGCGGACCGGACGGGTGCAGGGAGGGTACGGCGGAGGCACTTGGGTGGTGATCATTCTTTCCATGCCGTCGGGAAGCCCTCTGGAAGATATCGCGGCGTTGAACTGGCCGACCAAGAGGGAGGAAGGCAGATGGTCGCGGGGAATCTCGCCCTTCCGACGGTTGGAACGCTCTGCATCGTCGAGGATTGCCCGAAATTGGGACGCCATCTCCGATGACTCGGAGACATCCTTGATATCCATGGCGAAATCCGTGGGTGTTGATGAGGCGACGAGGAGTGTCAGCGGGATTTGACGAACAGAGATCAGGGAGGAGAAAAGACGATGGAAATAACGATAGAGACAATTGGAGACAACCACAGCGGATCGTAGCAACGACAGCAGCCACGACAGCAGCAAGAAGGCAGGAAATGGAGCTGAGCAGACCCAGAAAGATCAGGCGATCTCTAGGTACCCGTCTGAAGAGTTTTCATGCAGGTGCCAACGAACAAGACGAGTGATGACGAATCGAATCTGTTCACTACCTAACGTTGGAAATTTCCATGGTCGTCGCCGAGAAAAAGGCCTAACCAAGGAACCGACGAAACAAATCGGCATGCCTCAGCTTTTCCAGTTGGTGCTTTATATACCCAAGTTCAAAAAGGGCACTCAGACACGCAGAAGAAAGTGGATGGACTCCTGCATCAACCCAACTGGCATAGCTTCTTTAAGCAAGAAAGGCTCATGCTTTAGGTTCAAAGAAGATTTTGATCATAAAGAAATGTTCTCGGTTGAAGTGCCTCTATTCCATCAACTCCGAAGTGCTAGCCCCGCGATAACTAAGGACTGACAGTCTGACTCTACCACATGATGGGTTTGTCAATCTTGCTGTCGGCATGGATTCCACACTCCCTAAACCGGCTGACAAGGTTCGTGATATCGTAGCCCTCGCCGTCAATACACACCTCTCTCAGATGAGGATATTTGCCCCATTCAATTTGATCTGCCAGCCATAACAAGTCTTCGGCAATCTCCCAACTGATTCCGGCAAGATGAAAACGTTCGAGAGAGGCAGGAAGGTTTCTGATTGGCATGTTTTGTCTGTCTTCTTGCGCCGCCTTATCGAGGGAGTTCATGCTGATCCACAGGCTCCTGAGCTGTGTAAAGTCCTTGAACGAGGAAAATCGCTTACTGAAAGGATCCTGTCTATCGTTTGGGCGGAAGTCCAAAACAACTGTATGCAGGGACGACGCATGATTGCGACTGGTGAGGGCGCGGCACAAATCGCCGGGGTATATCTCCAGGTAGTCATCCTCAATCTCATGCATTGCCTTAATGTACATGAACGTTTCCAACATCTCGCAAGGCTCAATGGTGGGTGGCAGTACAGAAAAACGGGCATACACGCCGTGAAGAACCAAAGAACGGATCTGAGTATTCCTGGGCTTATCCAACAAGCCCAAGAGATGGTAACGTTGAAGAAATAGGTCGTCAAGTTTCGGAGCGACGATACAAGAATTCTTCAAAACTTCGTGTGATATCCCACTAGACTCGCTTTCGTCCAGATCGTGGCCTACACCACGACGGGTGCCTCTGAGGGCAAGCGACTGGAGGACCGGGAATTGAATACCTTTTATCAGGCCGCAAAAGTTGCTAATGAAGCGGAGATGAGGCTCTGTAACTTCCAGAAAGAGCTCCTCCATATGTTGCAGGTGCATTAATAGCAGAATAGAGGCCATAAAGGTGAAGGGGACTGATCCTTTCTTACAAGCCTCATAAATTGTGAACGGTCGCCCACGCATGACATTGGGATGCAAGCTGAGGAAGCAGAGACGAGTATTGATTGCGATGCCCAACGAAGCAGCAGTCTGCTCCAAAAACATAATATTGGCTTCTTGCACCGTCTCGCGGCTGTTCTCGAATTCTTCGATGTGCAGGTGAAAGTCCCTGATGGATTTGCGGATGATGTCGTTCCATCGAACGAGCCGCAAGAGCGATATCATTTTCGACGCTGCTGTCTTTCCAGTGATGCTGACTGACGTGTAGGACTCTCTAAACAAGAGCCCGCGAAACTCCTTGTTGACTAGAGAGAGGTTCATGACAGCTTTCTGCACCTCATGAAGGACGTGGTCAATCTCTTCATCAGTGGTGTTTGTGTGGAGCACGTGCCTGGTAGAGCGCTCGGATCGAAGGACAGAGCAGATGATGATAATAATTTCCTTTGGGAGGTCGACTAGCTGCGCCATATTAAAAATCCAGGCGGTGCGGCACAAGCAGGTTCGATGACATAGAGTCAGACTGCTGTTGTGTCGGGTATGAAGCTATTTGCCTGTGAGAGGGAAATATCTGGAGAAAGGTGTCGATATGGGGAAAAGGAGCATATGAGCTGTCGTCACAATAAAATGAGACGTTTTGTAAATGGTAGATCAGGTTATTTCTTATTGCAAGGGTGGCAAAAGAGGAAGCATATGAAAGTTAGGTTAGATTACCTTGAATGGCGGGGTAGGTTTTCACTCGCATGCGAATCAGAGGTCTGGAACATGCAATCCAAGGTCAATAAGCTACCATCTTCTTAGAGGATCAGATAAATGTGGATGTTGCCCAGCCTATATTTAGAAACCTTGTTTTTTCCCTCTTGCGGGAAGACCTAACGTATTGGAGGAAATGTTCATCACCTTGCCCAGTCGAAGGCAGAAAGACCGAAAGGCCAATCGCCCTCAAGGCATAGCGAAGACGAAGCCTGAGTGGCCACATCCACCTAAACATATTCCACCCGGCATATCCATACCAACTGGACCGCTTTGTGAAGGAAACTATTGTGAGGCACTGGAGTGAAATTTGGCCATGGGCCGTTCATTCGTACAATGAAGAAGACCTATCACTTGGTTGATTTTCACCCACCAAATGAACACTACTTAACTTTATATGGGTTTAATATTGACAGGTTATTTACTCCAATCGTAAATACAAAGGTTTAATATACATGTAGAAGAATATACACTCATTTGACAAAAGCCAACTCTACCATCATCCGCCAGACAGCTCACCCCCTGGAATGCAAGTGACTACCGGCGCTTAAGCACTTAAGCAGAGTAGACGCGAATAGGGGTCTCAATGGGCTCAGGGGGAGTGAGACCAATGGTGACCTCGTAGCCCTTAGGGGGGTGGAGGGCATCAGGGAGCTCGATGATGTTCTTGTAGTAGTCGGGAAGGCGGGATCCGTACCAGAGCTTGGCAATGGCAGGGAGGATGGAACGGTAGCCACCACCGAGGATGTCCAGGTTGGGAGCGACGTACAAGTGGGAGGTATTGGAGTCACTGCTGAAGACACCGCCGTAGCTCTGGTTCCAGTAGTAGTTCTCGAAGATGTCGCCGGCGATCTTGCTGCTTCACTCGCGGATCTTGTCACCAGTCTTGGAGCCAACGAAGTTCCAGACGTTGGCACCGACGTCCCAACGGCCGAGGGTGTGGAGATTCCAGTTGGCCTGGACGGAAGAAAGCTCGGAGTAGTGGTTGTAGAAGGCGTTGTCCTTGGTGCCGACGAGCTCCTTGGGAACGGCAGAGCCGAGGAGGATACCGGCGACGTGGTTGCGCTCGAGGGGGTACTGGCCGTTAGCCTGCCAGGTGATGTAGACCAAGGTGCGGCCGTCGTTGAACTTGGGGTCCTGGAGGAGAGGCTCGACGAAGCTGCGGGTCCAGTTGCAAGAGACAGAGATGTTGGTGTCGTGGCCGTTGTTGTACAGGTTGGGGGTGACGAACAGCCACTGGGGAAGGCGGTCGTTCTCGAGGTCCTCGTAGAAGAGAGTCAGGTTCTTGATCTTGGCCAGGCGGTCGGGGTTGAGTGTAACGGAGTCGAAGCGAACGAGGAGGTTGTGCTTGCGAGCGTAGTCACCCTCCTCCTCGTTGTCGTACTCGAAGCCCTCAAAGCCGGTGTAGGGGAGACCCTCGTTGTAGTCACCCCAGCTGATGCCCTTGTCCTCGAGGAGGTCGACAATGGTGGAGACGTTCTTGTCAACCAAGAGGAAAGAATCGCTGTTGGTGCCGAAGTCGTCACCGCTGGCGGGGGCAACGTAGTTAGGCTGAGAAGGAGTGCCAATACCGTACATCTCAGTGAGCAGGATACCCTGGTTGATCAGAGCCTGGCAGTTGGGGTCGGCGATGGAATTGTTGTAGGCGGTGGTCTCGAGATAGACCTGCATGATGCGGTCGAAGACCTTGCCCTTGACGTGAGAAGTAGGAGACTCGGTCTTGGCAGTAGCGGCGGCGGCAGCCACATCGGCGCTGGCAGTCGAGGTGTACTGGACGTCGGCCGCAGTGTTGACGGCAGTGGAAGGGACACTGGCAGAGATAATCGGAGTAGGGTGTCCGTGACCACCGTTGCCGTTGCCATTTCCGTGGCCGTTGCCGTTGCCGTGACCATTGCCCCAGCCGCCACCGTTGTTGTTGCCCTTGCCGTGGCCGTGGTCGTTGTCTTTGCCGTTGCCTTTGCCGTAGTCCTTGTTGTCCCAGTCATGGCTCTTGCCGGCGTCGCAATCAGGAGCAGCCGCGGCGATGCTCGCAGAAGCGCAAGGAAACGAACCATCTTGGATTCTTTGGTGTAGCTCTGTTGTCAAAGAGTGTTGTTCTGAAGAGAATGAGAATGGAATATCAGAGAGTGAGAGTTCTCAAGAGAGAGGAGAGAGTGAGAGATGTGGATGCGGATGAGGAAAGGAAAACTTGACTAGAATCGCGAACATGATCTCTGGTTATATAGCCTCTTCCATACTCCATTTTCGATGTTGTCTCTCTGGAAGAGGGAGAAATACGCTGCTACCCGCGATGGGTCCTTGCCCTCACAACTTGCCTGTGCTTGCCTGAGCATGTTGCGACGTCTGAGAACGAGAGGCTTTCCAGCCCGCCTGGAGAAGCTCGTCGTTGATGTTGGATCCGAGCCCAATGAAGACTCAGCACAACTCCGAGTAGCATAGGAAACAATTTCCCGTTTCCGTGTTCAATATTGACATCCAGATGCTTAAGGCTGAGAACCTCTAGCTGAGCCGGACCCGCAAGGACCCTGAAAATAGGACCCTTGGAAAGAAATGTTTGTAAGTCTATCTGAGTCCTTCTCAACCGTTCCTACCGTTGCTAGATGGCCGCATGGGCGCTGTTCCTCGAATATTAAGTCGTTCGTCTGAACGCAGAGCGGAAGCCACGAAGCTTAATTGCCTTCAGACGGTGCTAATTGAGCACTATTTTGCAGGTTGTGTGGTCTGGGTTCTCGGTGTGGCGTGTTCATTAAACCGACTTAGTCTTAGGAGGGAATCCCAAAACCCGGGGAAGCTGACCCTGCACAGAACAACCAGCAGCCATAGCTCTCAATGTTCGCCTGATGAACCCGTGTTCGGGCAGTCAATGGCACGCTACGAAAGCCGGATAGATCGGGGTTAAACCGGCGCTATGGTCAACTAATCTTGGCATGGGAGCTATTTTCTGACGGTTGTAAATGTTGACGAGGGAACGCAAACACGGCTAGAGGAAACTAAACGCGTCGAGTAATGTTGGGCTTGAAGTTTTCACGTTTGGTGAAAGTGAGTCCCGGCGAGCCAGGGCCATCACGTATACTACTTCAGAGCAGATGAGCAACATCTCAGATCGTCGAGTTGGGAAAGTTTTGATACATAATACACAGTCAACACAAAAGAACGCGAGTGCGGGGCAATGACCCGGCGACGATCAACCCTTGGACTCTCGGGTGCCCGATGCTAGCGCGGAGTAGCTTGCTGCCACTCGGATCAGAAGGCTTGCATATTGGAAAACAATGGGCTACCGGTGGTTAGACAACCTGGAGGAGAGGCTTTCTCTCAATTCCTGCAATTGAACAACTACTGCCATGCAAACCGGTTTGCATGGTAGCCGTCTTCTTCCCGGACTGATCTCGGTCCCTTTAACCACAAGATATTATTGAAAATAACCATTGTATGCGGCGAGGAGCGTGAAGATCGCAACCGGTGAGTGGAACCGAATATACTTAACGTATATTAATCCTTATCAGAGCAATTGAAACATCATTACCTCTCTGCAGCACTTTACATGCTACCTTTCATGGAAGTGAGCTCAAGACGTGCAGCGATGAAGATTGCACTGTTCATTCTGGTTCCAAACCCCACGAGATAACGCATCAATGGCTACGTATACAGGATATTGTGTAAGGCTTTATCGACGCTGTGTCCTGAGAATGAATGCAGTAACAAACACGTTGCTATCAAAGTTTACTGCTTCCAAACGGTGTACGATTTCATCACACCATTCTGCCAGTCTTGGAGGATGTACGACGACCAATCCACGCTCTGGCAAGTTGGTTCCCAAGTCTTAGCACTGCCAGTACAGTTGTACTCGCTGTAGCCTTTATGTCAGCTTTGTTTTACCGAAATCGCCGGTGGGATCATGCGAAAGAATAGACTTGTTACAACTTACTTGTAAAATCTGACGCATGAGCTTCCCTTCAGGATGACCCAATTTGCCTTTTGAGCCCAACCATCAGGACCACTTTGCATATTCACTTGAGCATATAACTGTTAGTATAATTGATGGAAGGGATTTAGTGCGAGAGTTGTACTAACCGCAACTACCAGCTGCAGGGCAGACCTCATGCTCTTCATAGGGCTCGCCGAAAGTGCTCCGCATGAATGTTAGACTAACCTGATCACTGCTGCAGACTGCAGAGACCAATGGGGCGAAAAGAGCGAGACTCAAGAGCTTCATTGCAACAATGCGTCTGTATTGGAAGAGGTCGAAGGCGAAGTGAATGAAGCTGAAAAAATCTGCAAGCTTGACATGAACTCATTGATCAGCTTTTCAGTTTGACCTCAAATCAGGTCCATTTTATAGTTTCTTAAGGCTCCCAAAATCTCATCTCTCCCTTCCAGGCAGTTGCATCGCTAATTTCTGACCTCGTAGGATGCTGCAACTTTGGCCCAAGTGCGACTCAGCCAATGAGAGTAGTCTTGTCCCCAAAACCACCTTCCTAATCTCATCAACACACGGAGACGGATACCTTGTTATCCAATCGCTTCTGGCCAAGCTGGCGCTTTGGAAGAAAAAGTGCGAGAACTCGTATTGAAACCCACATATATATGGCCCGATGTGCTCATGATAGCTATTGAGCAGGGAGACACAGGAGCTGAGCAACAGCCAAGCATGAAGGATCGCGGCCCTTGCCGATGCAAAGCTACGGCCCGTCTTGGCGCTGGGACATCAATTAGTTGCCTGGAAGTCTGTCCGTTGTTTCTATGCAGAAGTCGGATTTAGCGATGGATGCTGCGCATGGCAACGCTTTGGGTCGTCGAGCCCTGGTTGGTTCTGAAAATTTGTGTCGTTAAAGTGCTTCCAAATGGCAATGGGTCTCTGTTACTTGTAGAGAAAGGTCTAGGCTTTATGCAGACTCAGTCGCAACCTTCCTCGCCTCCTCGGCCCATGCCTTACTTTCTCTCTTCAGTTCCCTCATCACATACCAAAACGTAGCACCCGTCCATATTCCAGCCCACACGAACGGCAGCGACCAGCCGATGGTGTAAGCAACATCGCCGTCCAGAGTGAAAATCAACACTGTGCAAAGCACGGCGCAAGCTTCTGCCCCGACGGCCCAGAACACACCCAACCGTCTCAGCATTGCTCTGAATACATGGCTTGCTTCATATCTCCTGTCCAACGCGACTCTGAATTCCGTTCCACCGGATCCGTCGACGGCGCAGATGTCTTCGATGAGACTGTAGATCCCGGGCCGCAATTGAGCGCCTTTGGGAATAGACGAGATACGGCAGGGTGCGGGGACGTGGAAATAGCGCATGGTGTCGACTAACAAGAGTTCGGTGCCGAAGACGAAGAGCATCGTCGTGACTGGCATAGAGAGAAGGCGGATTGGTGGGTGTTCTGGGACGGTGCCTCTATGTCCACAATCAGGATCCATCCACTAACATAAGCGGTACCAGGTAGTTACCGGAGGACTTACACGATCAGTTCAATCATGATTATGATCCAAGCGAATGAGAAGTTCCAGTGGAACCAGTCCAAGTACCAGCGATGCGCCCCGATGACTCTACACGTACTTCCCTTCCTCCATAACCGCCAGAACCTGAGAAAATACTCCACGATACTGGCTCCTCCAACTGCGGCAGTGACAATTGAAAAGACCGCATTTGGGGTCAGCTTCTCTTTCTTTTCGGTGGCCGTGTTTGTTCCGGGCCCCACGCCGTACCACAGACCAAAGTATAGAGCTATCGGCATCGCGATGGAGTCGAAGAGGATCAAGGTCCAAAAGAGAAATATCGCGAGTTTACGGGTACGCAGCGTGTAGTTAAGCGGGGGAGGGGTCGGCTGGAACGTGGGTCTCGACGGTGCTCCCTCGTCCACAGGAGAAGCCGGGCGCGTCGTAGACAGGCGCGGAGACCGGATGGATACTCCCGAATGTCGGGGAGAACGGGTCGGCGACAGGGAGGATCGCCGGGTCATCGCTAAGGAGGGACGGCCAAAGGGACCATCGTAACGGCGGTCGAAGTCGTGGCTCGGTCTCGTCTTGCGGTGCGTCGGCGAAATAGGAGCTGGATGAATTGGCGAGTTGGCCGTGTTGAGGTTGTGCAGGCTTCTCGCCTTCTTCTCGTCGAGGACCAGGTCCGGCTTGTTGACATCCTTGCTTGTGTCTGCCCCGGATTGAGGTGATATGGCGACACGATGACCTTGGGTTATCTGCAAGCTGTGCCGACCGAGCATCGTGGGATCTTGCCTTGGGGCATCATCGTTGGTAACTGGATGCGGATGGGCCGGATTTGTGGCCCCATCATGTTCCGGACTCTTCTCCTCCATAATTGAACATTGGTTGATGTGTACTTTCGAGTCTTGGAATACGCAGATGTTCGCTTGAACAAAAGGAAAGAATGAGAAGAAACATTAACACATTAGACTTAGGGCAATTGGGGTACTATTAGTTAGTGATCGCGTGGTGCGTGAGAACGGCGAAAGGCATCCCGTCGCCAAGATGCAAACGAGAAGACGATCATGACGACCTAGAGCTTCTTACGGCAGGTAAAGAGTACAAATGATGCCGCCGGACAATCAGTTGGATAGGGGTCCCTGAAGAAAGGTCGAAGGCTCTAGAGCATCATTGTGGGACAAGGGTCACAGGGGCAGAGGCTCCGTCGGGGGGAATGATGTCAGAATGAAGACCGTAGCGAAACCGAGATGCCCTCCCCTGTCTCTGGCGGTGTTCATCTGCCAATTAAGAATGCGGAGGTTGCCGGTTACGTGGACATTCAATCAATGATGCCTCTCAGTTGCATCTAAAGAAAGCATGATGTTCGGGAGTCTCGTGATGATGCTGGGGGCTTTCTATCATGATTGCTCTGGATGCGCCGGAGTGAGGAAGACACTGAAGGGAGCATCCTGAATCGACACATAGATTAACAGCCGAAGATGAGATAAGCTCTGGCCAAGGGCGCTGCCAAGCGGCTGCCGTGGCGTCACCCACTGAAACTGTTCCTGCAGTGCCCTGAAATTCGTCGAATGTCGCTGAACTCTGCCCGCTTAGTCAGTCCATTATCCTTTATGAGTGAAAGAAAATAGGCGGTGTTGATTGGACGAAGATCACTGTGCCGGGGTTCACCTCCGAACCCCTCCACTGTGTGGCAAATGATGATTACATAAGTTAGTTAGGTTCGAATCCTATCGGCGTTACGTTTTGGGGTCGTTGGCCTAGTAGTTATTTTCACTGAAGGATCCGACGATGCAAGGCCGACCCCTCATCCCGGCCTCGTGAGGCACGGTTGATACAATGATCATGATGTTGCTGAGTCACAAAGGCAACTACTAGATTTAGCAGGCTTCGTTTGCGATAATGCGCTTGATCAACACTCAAACGTTAGAGCTAGAAGATTTCCCCAGCAATGATCTTGTTCCTCCCTACGCCATTCTGTTCCATACGTGGGGTGACGGTGAGGTGACCTTTCACGATTGGCAGGATGATGAAGAAAGAGCCAAAAAGAAGGGCTTCCACAAAATTCAGTCAACATGCAGACGGGCTGTCCAGGACGACTACTCACATGCATGGGTTGACACCAATTGCATTGACAAGAGCAGCTCCGCAGAGCTATCGGAAGCTATCAACTCCATGTTCGCCTGGTATGAGAACGCCGCCGTTTGTTATGTCTACATGCCCGATGTTATACAATTACCAACCAAGGGATACGGCACCCATTTTCAAGAGAGCAGATGGTTTACGCGGGGCTGGACGCTGCAAGAGCTCATCGCCCCTCGAAACATCGTGTTTTACGGCCGCGACTGGGAGATGCTGGGGACAAAGACCGGGCTCGTCACAACCATATCGAAACGGATCACCAAAATTCCCAGAGGGTGTTTGCTGAACGAGCAGCCTCTCTCCAGCTTCAGCACAGCACAGATAATGTCATGGGCCTCTTCACGCGTTACGACTCGCCCAGAAGACCAGGCGTGTTGCCTTTTGGGGTTGTTTGGTGTCAACATGCCGCTTCTCTATGGTGAAGGCTCCAAGGCGTTCGTAAGACTGCAGGAGGAAATCATCAAGATATCCGACGACCAGAGCATATTCGCCTGCGATATGGAAGCTCTGGCTATGAGTGCCCCCATGGCGACGTCCCCACGCCTTTTCTCTCGCTCATCCCAGGTGGAAAGACGAGCGCCTGCCGCTTCTCATACGACAACTCTTCCCCCATTTTACTCCATGACGAATGCGGGCCTCTCTATTTCTCTCCCCCTCGTAGAGACTTTGTCGCCTCAATTTGTTCTCGGAAAGATCAGCTGCATCCTCTCAGGAGACGGCGGCGGACCTGTTATGCTGCCGTTGTCTTCACATGTCAGCGACTACCGTCATCAATATACACGCGTGTCTGCTCCGTCGGCATGGATCACATTTTTTTTGCGATTCGATAAAGAAACTGCTTCCTTTGTATGAGGAAAGTTCCGATTTCCCCGAGAATTGGGCCGTCGACTTCGACCCGGAAGAGACGACCAACATCATGATCACAATGCCTAAACCAGCCGAACAAATCTATCTTCAGAGAAGAGTTTTTTGTCCTTTGAGAAGAATGGGAGCTAAGGTGTTTTTTCTTATCGTCTTCCCGCGAGGACTATCGGGATATCGTCTTTACGCTGCCGACCCGCCAGAGGCTCTCGAGGAGCGTACAAGCATGATGGCTATGGTGGGCAAGAGTGACGCGGATGAATTCGGTAGAGGTCTTCTCATCTTCAAGAAAAAAGGCTCCGGTCGAGAAAGCGGGAAATACGTGGCAGTTTATTTCGAGGCAGGGCTGGACGAGAACCTTCCGTTAGAAGAGCGATTTTACGGGTGGCGCCGCAGATGTCGAGTATTTCCGGACTGGAATGTCCATCATACTTTGAAGGACGTCAAACCTTTCAGCGACGAGTTCCTCGGTGAAAGAGGAAGGGCGAGCTGGGTTGGCGACTTTCTAGTGACGGCGAGGACTATGCTCCCCGTCGATTCTCCGCACATGCCAGGGACTTCCACCGTCTTAGTAGCGGAAATCATCTTTGACATGAATCGTTTCCGGGACATGAGAGGGCGGAAAGGATCGATGAGCGAAACCAACGACTCACCACAATACAGCATGATGCTGCGTGACTCGGAAGGATCAGACATTGAGCTGTAGGGAAGAGATGGAGCGGTTGAAGAGTTTTGAGCCCGAGTCGACACACAACTTCAAATCTCGCCTCCCTTTTTCATCTCTATCACAACCTATCAAAACTTTATGTTAATGATTATCAGAAGATTTGAGAAGGGAGACAACCATCAGTCTTGATATCCTTCTAGAGGCCGACTTAATGTTCCCGGTCATGTGACACAAGATCAATCATGTTAGTCACTAAACCACTTACAACACACCCAATCACGCAATCTCACACTTGATGGGAAACTCTGAATAGGTTTGAATGCCTTCCATACTCATACAGGCTGCAGCACAGCTGCTCCGGCAGCTCAGCTGACTTGCCATCAACTACCTATGATAGAAAACAAAATACGCTAACACTGGACGTTCTCATATAGTCGCCTGACCGCTAACAATGAAAATTCTCAACTACCTCCCCTGACCCACACGTCTCGCTTACTGGGGCATGACCTCAGTCTTGAAGTCGGCGTTGTTGGTAGCAGCCTCGTTGCCAGCAGCGGGCGCGGCAGGAGCAGCAGGAGCAGCGGGAGCAGCAGCGCCACCGGCACCACCCTGCTGGGCACCACCAGCAGACAGAGCCTGGATACCACCGTCAAGGGACTGGTTGATCTGGTCAACGGACTGCTGGGCGATGCTCTGTCCGATGGCGGGAACCTTGGAGACAACGGCGGTGCTGAAGTCACCGGCGACGGCCTTCTGCTGCTTGAGCTGGTCAACCGCGACGGAGGTGGCACCAAGCTTGTCAAGCTCGGGCTTCTTGTTGGTCAGATCGGTGACGGCGGTCTGGACGGCGGTGGTCAGGCCGCCAGCGGACTGCTGAAGAGTGAGGGCATCGGTGAGGGAGAGCTCCTGGGCGCCCTGGATTTGTTGGGTGCCCTGCTTCAAGCTGGTCTGGACCTTGTTGGAGGCGTCGAGGAGGTTGGCGGCAGAGTTGGGGTCAGAGGCGGAGAGGGCCTAGAGACTGTTAGTATGGATGAGCACAGCAGACGATAATGATGCTTACCTTGACGGCGGTGTCGAGGTTGCCAAGGGAGTCCTGGACGCTGGTGAGAGCACCCTGGATGGTCTGGAGCTGACGCTTGCTGACGAGGGAGGCGGGAGCAGCGATGGCAGTGCCGGCAATCAGAGCCTGGACGAAGACGTTGGTGAAATGCATTGTGATTTGTGTGTTTTGTTGTTAAGCGAAGGCTTTGAGTAAGTATTGTTGAAGCGAATGCTTTGGTATCTAGGAGATGCTTTGGAAGGTAAGAAGCTGTAGATGCTGATGAGATGGAAGGAAGGAAGATTGATTGAGACCAGAACTTCATGTCCTTATTATACCACTTCTTCAACTGTGCCGCGAACGCCGCGAATGTGTCTCCTTCCCGCGGCCTACATGATTTGACGCCGCTTCCTTCATCCGAGCTGCTTCCAATACCTCAAGACGGTAAGAGACACCAGACACCGTACGATTCGTCACGCATACGTGCAGTGTAGCTGCGGCGCAAAACCGTGTACCTCGAACAGTCATAGTCACCATCGCGGGAACAAAATGTCAGAATCTTCGCCTCAAGCTACTGCAGCTCGACACCTGCCGGGTTCGTGTTCCGGCTTGGGAGGTTGTGTGTGTGGCTCTGCGGCCGAGAACCGGGGCCTTTCTCCCTTGAAACGCGTGCCGTGCGGTGCGCGGCTTGGTCATTGACATTGGGAATTATGGCTTGGCGGCCATCAGACGAAACAAAACAGTAAGCCACGGACCTTGAATGGGAAACGTCAAATTTCTCTCAACATGATGAACCACACTCTTCAATAAGCTTTGTCGTCTGGGGAAGAGTCGCCTAGCCCCTACTTTTCCCAGAAGGGTTATCCCTTCTATTTTTGGGGGTCATAAGCTTTCTTGATGTTCATTCAGTGCGGCGTGTGCGTTCATGATGGACCACGATCCCAAGAACTGAAGCTGGTGCCGCAACATCTGCATTTCGGATGGCACCGATCTGTCAAGACACTGGCTTCTACTATTTGTGACCCGCCCGCGGGAGGTTAGTCCCAAGACGTTTCCGGGACAGGTTGGGGAAGCTTGACACCTGCTAGGATGTTGATTCGGGTGCAACCAACATCCAGATATTTGTGTTGGATGTTGATGCCTGCTCCCTGCGATCCGATAGTCTCCAGAACGCCACCCAGATGACCTGCGTATAGACAGATCGACAGACTTTACCAACCAGTTCGTCAGTCTTTTGGTCTGGTTCGTGGCGCAGATGCGTTGACTTCTCTTCTGCAGGAACCCCCAAAGCTGGTGCGGGAACGCTAAATACCGAGCTACTACTCGGGGTGTTCCGTCCGTACATGCGCCTTGCTGCCCCTAGCTCCTAAGAGGGCAGCTCGAACATACTTCTCACAAACGCAGGTTCATTTTTTCTTGTCGATGGCGGGAGGGCGCTAGTGCGGCAGTCAGTGTCATTGCGCGTGCGCACGTCGAGAGAGATGGGTGCACATGAGAGGAGGGAAGACAACTCGATGAGCACCTCGGTTACTGTCTTTCCGTGCAAACAGCCGCGCAGACCAGCTGCCAATCATCTGTCACAGTCTGCATCTGACCTATCCGAGTGCGGTGGATGGTCCATCTCGTTGACAAATGTCGTGTCAAACGTCAGGTCTCGCCTCTGACGGCCGGGGTCCGTGCCTGAGCGCGGCTAAGGTCTTGTCACCAATCTGATGCCAGGACGGGGGTGGCTGAAGGTGAGAGTAAGAGGGGAGAAAGGTTAAGCTTGTACCGATGGCTGCATGAATGACTGAATCTGTCATCATCGTAGAGGGTGGCTAGGCCAGCGGATGGCTCCAGTCAGTTCGTCGGATGGATGGCGTTTGCTTGGCTTGAAGGGTGTCAGAGTCCAGTGCAAGGGCACCTGGTGGCCAGCTCGGTAATCCCAATCCGATTGGTGAGACGTGACACACTTCACTCGATGTCTGGTCTGTCGATGCTCACCTCAGTCAATGTGCGTGTCTTCACGAGCCTGGAAGCGGTTCGCCCGCTGCGAACGGCCGAGGTGTTGGAAGTCCGAGTGACTCGTGTACTCGGACTCCCATTTGTCACGTCTTGTCCACACTGCTCAAGGGTCCCTTCGCTCTGATTTGAGAAGCCCCAGAGTTGGTTCACCTTTCTGGTCTGATGTTTCTTGAAGTGTGCTGGTCGGGAATCGTCACGTCCGGACTTCAGGGGCCCAGGGCGGGGAAGGTTACTGCGCCGGGGTGACTTTGAGGGACCCCCACCGTCTGGCAGACGAGACGATCATCTTTTTCCGTTCGGTATTTTGCCGGAACTTTCTCAATATGGAAACATGCGGCATTCGAGTTCAGACCTGACCTGATATATACTGAGATGGACTGTTCAAGAATCAATCCTCGGGTTCCCCTGATACCTCGCATCCGGCGCATGTGTATTTCAGGGAGACTTTCCAAATTGAGCGATTCAATCATCCAGAGAGTGTGCAGAATGTGGCCCGGGACACAAGACATGGACGGTGCCAAATTGGGTGTCAAAAGCTTGACAACTGCTTTGGCCCGGCTGTCCTTTTCTCCCTAGATAGTTCTGAATATTCTCATTGAGAATCATGGTCGGCTTATATTATCTCACGATGGCCACAACCGCCCGTGTGCCTATGAATAGCACTCAACCGAGGTGCGCAACCCACGAGCCACATTTTCTAGTTGGTCAAGGGCTGAGACCGTGGTAGGCATAAGCTTCAACTTTGGATGTCGTACTTTAACTTCCGCTGACCCCATAATGCAATGCGGTTGCCATACCTTACGTTTGCGGAACTCAGGTTTTTATTCAAACCGGGCCATGGATGAAACAAAGTCTGGCTAAATAGATAACTATGTACAGCTTCCCTGCATAGTGTAGGCCGAACTCGAAAAAAAAGGAAGAGGAATAGACGGTGATATTTCATCATAGCAAAAGCGTAAAGAAAACCCCTCTCGCGCGTCTTCACACATGACCAAACAATTGTTGACATCTCATTAGAACCGAACACTTGTGTAACTTGTGTTCTGGCTCATCAGTTCCTTGCCATCAATGTACACTGCAAAGTCCAAAGACGCCCCCGATGGAATCATTCCAATCTCATAGCCCAGCTTTTTGACCATGGTACCGTCGGCGGTCCTGAAATCGGGTAGCTCTGAGTATGGGGTCGTGACAATCAACTGGAATTTGCATTTCGCATTCACTCGATAATCTTCCCGGTCTGGCGGATCGAGCTCCTCGCAGACCAATAGTGTTATGTTGAGTGTGCCGTCAAAATCATCCGCGTCTTTGATGTACTCGTAGAACGAATGACGAACAGGGCTCTTGGGCACAGCGGCTCCCTAGGTACAAATCGAATATTAGTTAGACCCAGGAGAAAGGTCGCTGAAGTGGTTCCCACTGACCCTTTTCAAGTACCATTTTATCTGGTTACGAGCGCGCCACTGGTTTTCGTGTTCGTCCCACATTTTGTCTACCGGAAGATGCTGGGCCTTGTTATATCCGGTTACGTATTTGATCCCGTAGCTATACCGAGATACTGTGGAAGTGACCTCAATGGGTGGTACAATAGCTCCTGAGGGTTTCTCTAGGAAACCTTTGTAAATGGCACCGCGACAAATAGCAGTTCGGCTGGATTGTTTCCCACATAAGCCTCTTGAAGTGAGAATCTGAAAAGAGAAAGAGAGGCTTACGGCTTGATTTCTCCGGACTGTAAAATCTCTGAGACATGGGAAGTCGAATGCTTGTCTTTGAGATGTTCGTACAAGTAAGGACTTGTGCCAAGTCCCCCGACCAGAATGATGCCCTGTTTCGTTAGCCGGATTGAATTGATACGGTATGGCATATTCTACCTACCGTCACCTTCGATTTCTTCTTGAGAGCCGTACGGATCTGATTATTGACTAGTATGTCGATTCCACTGAAGGATCCTGCAAACATCCCCTTTATGTGGGATCTGCGGTATGATCATTAGCTGTGCAGCTCTAAGGAATTGCACGCATACTTGAGGTGGCGAAACTCACTGTTGAAAATGAATTCTTCCATCCTTGATCAGTGGCTGTTTGTTCGGGTCGCCGAATTTCTCTGACGTTGTTTTGAAGGCCTCTGGTGGTAATTCCACAATGTATTCCTTCTTACTGCGCCTTGCGTCAGGCTTGAACTTGGACTTGATTGTCACCTCCCATTTCTCTTTCATGAAAGCCTTGATGACAGCTGGACTGAGTCGACCCCACTTTCTTCCAAGCTGATCTCTGCAGGCCTTCTCAAAAGCCTTGTCAATGAAGACGCCGCCGTACAGGCCGCCTTAAAGGGTCACGGTCAGTGTCTAACAGGTTTTCCAGGCAGCTCCAGTATCTTACCAGTACCCTCGCCGACTTCTTCAATGGTAAGAGGCTTGCTATTCGTTACCTCATAACTAATGAGATCCTTCCCTAGTTTAGCTTCATGTTCCGGACTTGATAGGCGAGAACCAAGATAAACATGGATAGGTACGTACCACGGTGCCGCCACCTGCATCGCATATGACGAAGACGTCTCCTTTGTTCAGGTTTCTATCCAACTCATACAGAGTTGAGAGAGCTGCTGCTTCCGGCTCCGGTGCAAATGTGAGTTTTGTTTGCCCAGCTGTACGATCATCCATGATCCCAGCCATCTCTGCAGCTTGTTCCATGTCTCGTCTGGCATAATCCTGCCAGATGGCGGGGACTGTGATGACAACATGGAAGCGTAAAGCGTCTAGAACAGACTGTCCTCGCGCCTTTCGGATCACATACAGGGTGTGCTTAAACAAAGCCCGTAGGTAATCGGCAATGAGCTCAACTGGCTTCTTCTCAGTCTCCTCTACGAACTTGCGTGCGTGAACAAGGGGCTCCGAGTTTCGAAGCTCTTTGGGCAAATCTTCGTCTTTCACGAGAAGGAGCTTGAACCATCGGACCGGCTCTGCATCTAGGGGAATGTCGTATCCCCACATGACTTGGCCATCCTCGTAGAATAGCTCAGTGGGGGCCTTGGCCTCTTGCCACTCGCTGCCTGGCCAGCTGGTGACGAGATTGATTTCATTCCTCGCAAAGTCTGCTGCAGTAGACCATGCGACTCCAGAGAATCTTCCACGCGTTAGTAAGGGTACAACAAACAGACACCTCACAGCCCTTTAGTAGCTTCGCTGGTCTTACGTGGTCCCGAAATCAATTCCGACGACAAGAACGTCGTCATTTCTGTTATTTCCAATCATGTCTGTATCACTGCCACCATTACCGTTGTTGTAAATAGTGGGAGGGTTGCCAATGATATCTTGCAGAGATCTCCGAGCTGGGTTTTCTCTGCGTCGTTCCACGCTGGGTCGTTCCAGGGTACAGGTCTTTTGTGTCATGGCTAAGTAGACGCCAATTCAACCGAAGGTTAACCAAAGACACTCCGTATTAGACTGGAGAAGCCAGCCAACACCCAGGCAAGAATACAGCGATCCTAGTTTGTCGGAGCAGAGCTAGTTGGAATCTCAAGTCTCGAAAAGAATGTCTGGGCTAGGATGGTAAGTGGTCAACAGGCCTAGGGAAGGAATGCGAAGGCGAATTGTAACTTATGTACCGGGATTGGCTGTGGACATTTCTATATCCAGGTCTGGAAGCCTGATCATCGACGATGGGTCGCGGACCATAACTATCGACTGGACGCCTGGATGCGACCCGAGTCACATAAACGACCTCGTTGTGTCCTTGGCTGGCCATCCTGCTGAGACGCGAGCTAGACATACGTCGTAATGATCCAATTTTGATAGCGTATGAGAAGTCGCACTGTATGACGAAGATGTGGCAGAAGGGCACATTTTTCAGCACTGAGACGCCCTTCGTGAGGCAGGAGACATATGAAACTTCAGCTCTCGCAAAGGAATGGCGTGTGTGTGTGTGTGTGTGTGTGTGCAGGGTATGGCTACCAACAAGGCTAGCGACTACCACAGCCCCCTTCATAGTTGGCTGCCAAAAGTGCACTTTACAATAATTGAAGACGGTCCCGATAGACCGACCATATGTACTCAAAGCCCTGGAAGGCTGCCTCCTGGGGGAGTACAAAATTACGGCTGGCATGAGGACTATCGAATCACTACTGAATGAGGATTCTAGATAATTCAGCTAGATGACTTAACGCCGTAGGACATCTTGCTCCCTGTCCAAACGCTGTACAATGCGACGAAGCTCAAGGGTGCACGCATCAGGCTGGCACATCCGGATGTAGCCAACAGACTCTTCACCACAGGCCAGCCTACTAATTATGAATCAGCATAGCATCGACAAGGCGAAAGACAAACCTTAGTTTGCTAAGATAGGATTGTGTCTTTTGTGAATGAGACTGCTTCTTAGATGTTGGATGTTGGCTGTAAGCCTTTCCCGGGGCAGTTACTTCCCCATGTAAGGTTGCCCATTTCTGATCACTCCCATACGAGAACATGGACCTAGCTTCGACGAACCACAGCCTCCTTACATTTCGCGGCCTCCAGGATCAGCACTTCAGCTGCTGTCCATGACATATGGTGGGAATCTTTCATAGCTTCGCTCTCTGTTCGTGACTGTCTGACACCGTTTAGATGGAATCTTCTGAGGGTGTGAGTGATTTAAGGGAAGCCTCAGCACAGCCTGCATTGCGCCACGCTCTTACTGCAAAGACAACGCTCAAAGGCTGAACCGCGTAACCGCGTAGTCCAGCCCCCACGATGACTGTATTCATCACGCGGACGCTTCTCTGATACAAAGACAAGGCTCGGGTATTTCTCGGGCATGCTGCTTATCGTTCATGTTCCACGGGAAAGCAGGCTGGGCCTTTGGTATTTGGCACCTGAGAGGCACAGCTTGTATATCTACTTGCAGACAAAAGTCAGATGGCGCTAACACTGTGCAGGCTGCAACTGATGCAGCCTGATTTCGCCTCATGCTGTGGTGGATGTCTAGAATTTTGCAGCTGGTAGCCTTTTCAGAACTTCACACTCTTCGATGCCTCTTGGACAGTGGTTTCATCTTCTACACGAGCGACTTTTTGCGTGAACCTGTTGGGAGCATTGAACGACCTCAGATGGCTAGCATGGAGCAAGCTGAGATACAGCCCAAAACCAGCGCCAGTCGCCATCTCCTCTCGCCTCAGAACCATCCTCAGAACTCACACGAATCTTCCAAAAACACTTCAAGCTTCCATGTCGAGAAAGAAAACCCCCTTGAGCCGTTCGGCGGCGCACCTCCCACACCTATTCGGGCGGCTTCCGTAAGTATCTGATTTACCCCAAATCATGGAGCATAATCTAGCTCTGGATACTAAGAGATGAAACATTAGATGCCGCCGCACACGCCAAAGAGGGATACTACCCCGTACACTGGTCGAAGTGGAAGGCAAACACCCAGTCACGAGACCGTGGCGAAGCAAGAATACAACCGAGAGATTTCGCGCCGAAAGGATATTGAGGCCGAGCTGGAGGCGAAAGATCGCAGGCTAGCGGAATGCGAAAACAAATTGAAGGATTCAGAGGCATCTCTTGTCGCTGTTCGCAAAAAATGGAAGGAGGCAGCCACCGACCTCGACAAGGTCAAATCGTCGCAACAAAGAGGTCTTTATCATATGACAGACAGCGAGCTCAGGGATTCCGTGACGAGGCTCCGGTACAATATTAGTCGGTTTGCAATTCAATACTTCAGTGGAAAGTTGCCAGGCGATACCAGTGTCGGAGAGATCGTCGACTCTGAGGACTATGAGGGATGGAAGGATTTGTCAGATGTCATCGGCGGCCGTCATATCACGGCTGAGTATATTCGTTCCGACAGGCGGCGACCTCATATCATACAGGCTCTGATATGGGAAACAATATACATGGATGTCTTTGGCGAGGCTCTTTGGGCCGGGGAGAAGATGGCCAAAGCATTCAGGGAATTGTCTAAGCAGTTACAAACACCAGGTATGATTCTTCATTGTACCAAAGTCTCTCTTGTGGCTTTTTCCAATGTGGATATTAATTCTCAACAGCAAATAACAAAGGAAGCGATCCTGATATCGAGGCATGCCGAAGATTTTGCCTTTGGAGAGCCGAGACGGCAGCAATGATCGTTGAGTCAATCAACTCGTCCAAGGATGCAAAGGAAAGAAGCAAGCGAGCGTTATCGAAAGAGATCGACTCAGTTTGCAGATATACTTACGAACACATCATGCCGTTTACAAGACTCACCAAAGGCCTCGGCGACGAAGTGTTTGACATTCTCCAAGAGGCCGCCAAGCTGGACGAAGCCCTGAAACGGCAAGCCGTCCGCTTCGACTGGACTTTTTCTGACCTTCGAGAGCCATTTGATAGCAATACAATGACCTTGGCGAGTGGGGAGACTTGGGAGGCCGACATGGATGGCGTCTGGGTGACGACTTGTCCCGGCCTAGTCAGACAAGGAAGGTCGACAGGTGATGAGTTTGAGACCAAGACTAGACTCCTGTCTGCGGAGGTGTCTTGGATACCAAGTCCCCGAGCGGGAGGTTCGGAGCAGAAGTTTCGACGGAATCGAACTATTTGAACATGGTTTGACACTCACGGAGGGCAATGAAAGTGGTTGGAGATTCTCTTATTTTGTTCATCGTCTATGTCCCGCACTCGGGCATCCATTCCTCAAAACTCCATGCCGCATCCACGCCGGTACCAATGTACATGCTAGGTCTACACTGACCATCTTATGTCCCAATGCCTTTTTCGTTATAATACAAGAAAATCACAAAACGCGAATGTGATGATAGTAGTAATGACACACCAGACGCCCTTAAACAAACTTGGTTTTCGTCTGCGCGCCTACCGTTTGCGCGTGTCTCTACCCTTCTTCTTGCTCTTCTTTTTATCTTTGGGCAAGTCCAATGCCGTGCCCTTGAGTTGCTCTGCCATTGTGCGGAGCATGTAGTCATCAATATTAAAGATACGCTCGCCCCATGCGTTTTGTTCGATGTCCTCGTCTGGTGCGACAGACTCGGAGAAGCGACCGAGGCCGGAGGGGCCGGGTCCGTTTTGCTCGTTGGGGCCTTCGTCGCGGGGCGTGCCTTGCCGAGTGCTTGAGGCCCCGGAGGGTGCGGCGCTCTTTTCGTTGAAGTCGGCTTCATCCTCTTGAATTTCCTTCTCGGCAGCCTTAGCAGCTTCCACGTCTTCCTGATCTTCGGCCTGCTTAAGTTCCTCGCCAGCGTTGCGTGAGCTGCCGCTATCGACTCCGCCGAGGAGACGGTCCATGGCGGCATTAGCGGCATCGTCGACCAAGTCGTTGCCCTCGGCACCAAGCACGTCGCGGACGGAGAGCTTGTTGAAGTAATCTGTTGTGAAGCTTCCTTCCTGAATAACGACATCATCTAGCATTTGCTTTTGTGATGCTTTGCGAAGAATATTGGCTTCGATAGTATGTTCGCTGACAAGTCGGTAGATGTGTACGTCGCGCGTTTGTCCGATACGATGGCACCTGTCTTGGCATTGCTTGTCCATGGCGGGGTTCCAGTCTTGGTCGTAGAAGATGACGGTGTCAGCGCCGGTAAGGTTGATTCCCAAACCACCAGAACGGGTGGATAGAATGAAGCACAGAATCCTCTCGTCGTGGTTGAATCGATCGGTAAGAATTTGGCGCTGCTCAACTTTGGTGGCACCATCTAGACGTAAATACTTGTGGCCATGGATGTTGAGGAACTGCTCCAGAATATCCAATACTCTGGTCATCTGAGTGAAGATGAGAGCACGGTGACCGCCCGCTTGAAGCTTACGCAGCAGTTTATCCAAAGCTTGAAGTTTTCCACAGTCGTATTGGAGCAGCCTCTTATCGGGGAACTGAATGCTCAGGCGCATACGGGCTTCGTGCCAGGGGTCGATGGGAGCCTGCTTGGGTATGAAGGGGGCCCATCGAACTGGTGCAGATAGCTTCAGGTCCTCGTCGGTGAATGCATTCGCAGCTTTCCGGCCTAAGATGACTTCGTTCATGTCGCGACTGATGACAGCGGGAGTGACGCAAGCGAACTTTTGAATAGTGGTCTGGAACGAGTCCGCACGATCGTCCGAGGTGCGGATGACTGCGCGAAGGAAGTCTGAGTCCTCGGCAAACCAGTTGAGAACCTCAGAAGGAACTTTTGGGCGAGGTTTTCTTGGCCTCTGATCCAACCCAAAAGTGAGTAAGTCAACCAGACGCTTGCCATAGATGGGTCGACGCTGGCCGCGAAGAGCGTTCAGGTAGACACTGTGTTGCAACTCTTCGAAGCGACGCCATCTAGCTAAGCTGTCGAGATAGACAATGTTTGACTCAACGGTTGACGGGTCAAGATTCGTGCGAGCAAGGTGGGCTCTGGCGTTCTGAGCTTCACGAAGCTCCATCAACGCCCTGTGTAGACTCAGTTGTGAGATCCTCTCGGCGGTCGTGTTGGACATCGTCTCGAACTGCGTGGGAATCATGTTCAGCACCCCGAGACTGACCACAGACATGGGCTCAACCTTCAGCAGTGACCGCTGCAGGAAGGATTCTGTACCCGAGTACTCCGCTGGCACCGACTTCTGCATCCGGAAAGATGTCATGATGGGCCGGTCCACGAAAAGATCAGGGTGATTGCAGACCTTTCGCAGCTGCATGAGACAATTGATGATGGACAGATAGTTGCCCGACGACAGCGTATCCCGCGTATCGCTACGAGCCAAAAATCCATCGTACAATTCGCGCTGCCGCTTGGATAAGCGACAAAACTCGACGTGCTCGTGCTTCGCCGGCATTTGTTTCTCAACGTCCGCCTTGAGTCTTCGAAGCAGGTAAGGTCGCAGTACTTTGTGCAACTTGGCGATGATGGCGCGGCCCTCCTCGTCCATGGTATCGCGGCCCTGCTCCAGGATCTGCGACTCTGGTTTGCGAAACCAGTCTTGGAATTCATGCAAGTCTGCAAATCCGCCAGCACCGTTATCAGAGGGCATCAGGAAGAACAGCAACGACCATAACTCGGTCAAATTGTTCTGCAAAGGGGTGCCCGTAAGCAACAACCGAGAATGTGTGTTGAATCCGAGCAGGTTGCGCCAACGTTGTGACTTGAAGTTCTTGATGTTGTGTGCTTCGTCAAGAATCATGTAGTGCCATTTGCGACGTTTGAAGACTTGCACATCTTGAAGGACCAGCTGGTAGGAAGTAATGCACACGTTCCACACATCGTCACTATTCCATCCTTGGCGCTTCCTTTTTCTTTCCTCAATGGTTCCGTAGTAGGAAAGAATCTTGAAGCCAGGGCACCACTTCTTGAACTCCATTTCCCAGTTGAGCATGACACTCGTGGGCACGACGACAAGATGGGGTCCCCACACCTCATGATGGCAAGCGAGGTGGGCCAGCAATGAAATGGTTTGGATTGTTTTTCCGAGACCCATCTCGTCTGCAAGAATACCATTAGTATTGTTGGCGTACAGACCCGAAAGCCAATCCAATCCGTCATGCTGATACGCGCGCAAGGTGCCGCGGAGAAGGAATGGGATTTCCGTTTTCGTGGCTTGCGGTGTAGCGGGCGTTGCTGGCGTTGCCGAACGGCTGACAATGTCTTTCACCCCAGGCGTTGCCAGAGACATAGTGTCTACTTCGGAAGGCTTAGTATCAGACGTCGGGGGCGAATGACTCTGTTCTGGGCTAGGCGGCACAGTAACGACGTCGGTATCAGGGCTCGCGTGTTTGGATGGAGCCTCTGAATCAGGAGCGATGGCGGTTTCTGGTGCATCGAGTTTTGACGGCGCATCTTCCATCTCAATGTCTCCATGTGGGGTATTGACATCCTTCACGGGATCGGCAGTGGGGGGTTCGGTGGTGTTCGTCGTCAAAGGGGCGGGGTCCACGCCGTTAACCATCTCCGTGTCAGCCTTTGGTGAAGACGCCATGGGCTTGTCCTCCGACTCTGCCACGCCAGTCTCTGTCGGTAAGCCGCCTACAGATTCAGCAGCCGGAGCAATCTCGTTCTCCTGAATGGTCTTGTCGACATCCATCTCATCCTCGTCAACAAATATGCCGGGGTGCTGAATCAAAGAAACCTCATCTTCGTCATCGACCGCCTCATCCCTGAACGGAGTGGATGCCTCGCCTTGTGCAGCAGGGGTCTCCACTACAGGTGCATCGTTCTTCGTAGAGTCTTCCTCATCTGGTGCGTCGTTCTTCATCTTCTTCAGATCGGATTTGCCAAAGAGCATGCCAAGCAATCCAGCAGGTTCTTCTTCTTCACTGTCCTCTCCGGAACCCTCCTCCTCATCGGATCCATCGTCGCTATCGTCCATATCCGTTGATCCAAGATCGTCATCCATGTCAACCGATTCGTCAGAGGTGTCGTTTTCGGCGGCACTTGTTGGTACTGCCTTCACGTCTGTCCCGGAGTCCATACCATTGACGAGCTTCTCGGCGGGCTCTTCCGCAGCCAAGTCGGGCAGATTGGCATACTTCGCGCGGAGTTGTTCTTGAGTAAGTTTCTCGTCACCAGCATCACCAGTGTGCTCCTCGCCCGCTTCGTCCTCGTCCGATGATGACATGACATCGTCGTCCTCGTCGCCCGAATCGTCATCATCAGCGTCAACTGACGATGCGTGGCTGTTCTCCGCGTCGCTATCAAGGCCATCGGGGTCGTTGTCGTTGTTGTCGTCGTCGGGAAGACCGTCTTCGTCAGATACATCGGAGTCTGCTGGGGCCTGGCGCGCCAGAAGCTTCTGCTCGGAGAGATCAACAACGTCCTGTAGCGCAGCTTTAATTCTACGCGCCTCCTCGGCCTCCCATTCCTGGACGCGTTGTCTGTTGACTTCGAATCGCACGCTCTCCCATGTGCCAAACATGCTCTTGACTACAACCCTGTATCGGCCAACCCATACGTCTCTTGCTTCTGCTTCAAGCTCCTCGGCCGACTTGGGTTGGCGTCGAAGCCAAGCATCTCGGCAAGCCTCAGCAATCTTCTTGGCCTGCGCGCGATGTCTCTGCTGCTCTTGTAGCATCAGCCTTCGGAAGTTCGTCATGGCCTTAACCATGTGGTCACGACGGGCCCATTGGCGCGGGGGCTCTTCCTCAGCTTCGGGTACGAAGATAGAGCATCGCTCCTGGGAAAGGATTCCGCCAGGTTCCACCGCCGCTTCTACCCGTAAGACGATTTGGGCATCCCTCTTGGCCATCTCATCGGTGTAGGCTGGCCCATCTTCTGGCAGGTATATGCCTCCCTCGTCCACATGTATCGTCTGTGCCTTCTCCCAGTATTCCTCGAATGTAGGACCGATCTTCAGCCGCTTATGAACCTGTCCGGGATGCACAATGGGCAGCTCCGTTGACCGTGGTACGCGCAGCTTGATTCGTGTGCGGTTGGGGCTCGTCGACGTCGTGGTGGGGAGGTCCTCGATAGAGCTGCGACGGCCACGCCGTGGCCTTGTAGATTGTCTCGTTGGCTGAGATGGTGGTGAGGGGGATCGTTTGCGTGTTGATCGCGCAGGTGCCTTGGCTTCGTTCGAGATGGACTTTCTGTTCGACTTCTTGAGGTTCAGGGGGGCGGGCTTGGCGGCTGTAGACTTTCG